AGGGAAGAAGGAGGAGAAGGGGAGAAGGAGGAGGAGGTGAGAAGGGGAAGAAAGAGGAGAAGGAGGAGAAAGGGAAGAAGGGGGAGAAGGGGAAGAAGGGAGAGAAGGGGAAGAAGGGGAAGAAGGGGGAGAAGGTGAGAAGAAGCCTATTTCCTCTTTAGACAGCCGGCCAGTGCCTCTGAGCTTCCCCTGCCTTCTGAGTCTGCTCAGTAGACTACTTGCTCCTCTCACCCTTCCCAAGATTGCTGCTGTGTTTTACCTCAGTTCTCACGTGAACTCCCATGAAGTCTGAAGCACATATTCAGCTTATACAAGCCACACATAATAGGTTCCTTTTTCGGACTCACTAAATACGAGCTGTGAGAAGTCCTGTGCAGAGCAGAGACTGCTCAGAAAATGAGTAGTCACACCATACCATCATGCAAGCTAGAGACAGGTCTCACACTGAGGGGAATAATTCCTGGAGAAAGTTGTGTCAGGTGGATAGGTTGTTGGAAAAGGAGAGGAATAATCAACTACCCTAGCGACCTTCACAGTGATGGAACATCGTCATCGACCCTTTCCAGCCAAGCAAATTTAACTCTTTACCCATGCATACCTGTAAATTGCAATCCTGTACAGGAAATTACTGAACCTAATCTAACTCTGACATCGTTTAGAGTTTACATTTAAGCAACAGGTGTCTAAGAATTAATTTTGAATCTGACTTTATTTCTTTTGACGAAATGGGCCTCACACCAGAATCAATTTTTCAAGTGTATTTATAAATGAGTGAGGGTAGCTTGTCGTAGTAGATGTATCTCCATGAGCAAAATACTCATTGTATGGCTTCCATAATTATGGCTTGACATTTTAACCAGGAAAATCGCCAGTAGGGAGAACAATGTCTTCTTAGTTTGTAGATGTGTTTCTTGGTATAGAAATTAAATAGTGTGGCAATTTTAGGACTCACATAGCACTTGAAAGTGCTTATTAGTTAATGGAAGAATTTAGCACAATTATACAAAATAAGATGAACACTTTTCTCTGAGATTCTTAAACACTTTCCAAAACAAATACTGTGGAAAATGAGGAAGCTGCTGAAGGAAGAAGATAACCCGGAAAGAATGGCAGAATCTCCCTCTTGGCCTTTTTCCCTTTCATAATTGGATCTTAAGAATTTTATTTGAATGGTTAAGTCACCAGTGGCTGTGTCTGTAGTAGCAACAGAAACTCTGAAGTTCCCTTCAAAATCACTCTCTTCTGAGCCATTCGGAAGATCTTATGCTCTATACTACTTTCAATCCTAAATTCTAAGTGCTGAAAACCAAATACTGCAATCAGAAAATATCTTAGAACTGGTTGACTTTTTCAGTGATACTTCTTAACCCTTTTCAAAATTTGAAGGAAGAAAAAATAATTTTAAAATATGACCACAGTCCTTAGAGTGATTGTGTCTATAATTGAATATTTTATTGATAAAATATTTTGTTTGAAATTTACTAAACTTCTTTTATGCCAACAGTAAAGTACTTTGTTTTCTGGTTTTTTGTTTTTCAGTTCACAAATAATAAATATGAAGACCGAACTTTCATTCAACATCCAAGCTCTTGCAGTTTGGGCAAATATATGTTTAACTAGAAAGTGAGTAATGTTCCCTTTGCTCCTGTGCTTCCCACGTTCTCATGTTGAACCTGTGTCTTATATGTTACTGCAGAGCACTACCAGTATTGTCTTACATTTAGAATAACTTCTAACCATTTCTACCTTCGCTAGGGTTTCTACTGCTGTGAAGGGAAGCCATGACCACAGTAGCTCTTATAAAGTAAAGCATCTAGTTGGTGTAGCTTACGGTCTCAGAGGTTTTTCCATAGTAACCATGGTGGAACATGACATGCAGGCAGGCACGGTGCTGGAAGAAGAGCTGAGAGTTCTACATCTTGATCCGAGGGCAGCAGGAATCTGTGCCCAGACTGGGCGTAGCTTGAGCATAGGAGATCTCAAAGCCCACCTGCACAGTGACACACCTACCCCAGCAAAGCCACACCTCCTAACGGTGCCTCTCCCTTTCGGGATCATTTTCTTTCAACCACCACAATTTCTGTTATGGCAAATGTCTACTGTTTCTTGATGTCTTCTTATCTTATGATTACAAACAAGTGACTTGAGAGATTGACCATTTGATCATCTCAAACCCTGGATTGGTCCTTTACTCTGCCTATAGCTAATTTTTATTGTTGACTTGCAAAGGAACCCTACAGCTATCTAATTTCTCCACTCATTTAAAAAAAGAAAAGGCCTTCTTGTCAGGCATGGTGGTACATGACTGTAAGCCCAACAGAACCTGAGGCAGAGCCACCATGAGTTGAGGCCAGGTTATATACTAAAACTGTTTATGTTTATTTATTTACTTTCCATTCTGTTGGATGTATTAGTTTGTAAATACACATATATTTATAGTTCTATTTGCTTAACAATTGACATTATAAAATAATGTCAACATTTTTCCATAATAAAAAACAGATTTTTTAAAATTTTTATATAATATATTCTATCTACCACATCATCATGGGAAAATTAATTTATGTCTCTTTTGTGTTGCTGAGGCTTGAACCCAGGCATAGCAAGTGTTCTACCATTGACCTGAGCTGTAGCTGAAGATGTACTGGGAAATTAAATGTTCTCCTGTTTGAGGGTCATTAAATTGCTTCCACTTTTCCACTGTTGTACGTGGTCCTAAAGCATTCATGGATTAATGTTGGTTTGCATTTCCGGTTATTGCTTGAAGATGTCTGTCTAGATGCCAGAGTGCTGAGTCAGGGGCTGTGTTAAGGGATTGGTAGAGATTACCAAATCGCCTTCTCTTGGATTCCACCAGTCCACTCTGCCATGTCACTGCTGGAGTCTCACTTTGAAATCTGCCATTTTAAACCTTCGTTTTTAAGCCCGAGATCTTTTATTTTCTATACACTGACGACTTCCCAGCTTTGATAGCCTCGCTGGCTTTTATATGAGCGCCTCTCTGTGCTGCACCAGTGCGGGTGACCTCGGCCGCCACATGGAGTCGCGTTTGCTTTCGTTCTGGCATCATCTCTTCCACGGAGATTTTGACAATTGTACTCTATCTTTTTAAAATAGAAAGTTTTAAAGCTACAGATACTGCCCTATACTTTAAAGCTATGTATATTATTGATAGTCATACATATAGGTAACTTTGAACACTTTTGTTTTTGTAGGAGCAGACGGCAGTCTTCATTAGTGTGGCTTTTCACCGGGATGCTTTGCATTTATTCATTATTCTTTGCTTGGAGAGCAAACTTAGATATTTCAAAACCACTTTTCATGGGTGTGGTAAGTTTCACTTTGATAGATCTTTTACTTAAATAGATCTTTTTTGTGAAGATTGTATAAATTAGCCCTTCGTGAACTTTGTCAAAGAACCAACTGTCTAAGAAATAGTAAATATAGAATATATACACATAACCCCAGTACAGGGAGGCTGAGGCAGGCGGATCAGGAGATCAAGGCCAGTGTTTGTTACATAGTGAGTTCGAGAACATCCTGTGAGCTGCCTGAGAGCTCCTGGCTCAAACAAGCAAGCAAGCAAATGCAGTGTTGAGTTAACAGAGTAGTTAAATAGGAAAAATAAACCCCAGATAGACTTAATAATCCTGTATCCGCATTCTTGCAGCTATAAGAACAACTGTATTTTGTCTGGAATTCCTTTTAGAATAGCAAAAGAAATAGGAGGCAAGCAGGGAGGAAGAGGCGCTCTGACCGTGTCTTCTTACAGCGACTTCCTTAAGCCTGTGCAAACAAGCACGATTCTTAGGTTTTTTTTCTGGCAGCCAAGTCATTGACTGAGATAAAGATTTTTGTTTGTATTTCGATTTTTTGTTGTTGTTGAGATAGGGCATGGTTCTCAACCTACCTAGTGCTGCGACCCTTTAATACAGTTCCTCATGTTGTGATGCCCCCCAACCATGAAGTTATTTCATGGCTACTTCATATTTGTAATATTGCTACTGTTATGAATTGTAGTACAAATATTGATATTTAGGATATCTGATATTCCACCCCTGTGGAAAGGTGGTGTGAACCCGGGGAGAACTGCGCTGTAGTGAGTTCACTCTCTTCCCGCCTCAGTTCCCTGAGGGCTAGAGCCGCAGTCAGGAGCCATCATCCCTGCCTCCGTTAGTTCTCACGCTAAGAGCTAAAAAGTCTCCAGGCACTGGTGAGACACTTTTAATCCCAGCATGCGGGAGGCAGAGGCAAGCGGATCTTTGCAAGTTCGAGGCCAGCCTGGTCTACAGAGTGAGTTTCAGGACAGTCAGAACTACACAGAGAAACTGTTTAAAAAAAGAAAAGAAAAGAAAAGAAAAAGAAAAAGAAAAAAGAAAATAAATATAAAGTAGCTTTTTTTAAAAAGCAGCTCCCACCTGGTCTTTTGTGTGTATGTTCATTATCCCTAATGAATGATGCTCTACTTGACCCTCTTGGGTTTGAACCAAGTGAGAGAGAAGCTAAGCTGCTGGGAGCTGAAGCTGGTGGGTGACCTTTATGGCTGGTGCTGCTGTGGCTGGAGAATGTAGCTTCGTCATGCTGTCTTCCAAAGCAGAAGTCCTAGCCACCACTCACAGGTAGTGCTGCCCACCGTTTGGCCTCCGGGAGAGTCACCGTGGGCCAGCGCTTCTTGGCAGTGGCTCACTTGCAGTAGGAACAGAGAGGAAGAGAGACGGCTGTGTTGTTCCAGTGGAAGCTTCCACTTCTCTTATCAGCCAATCGCTTCATCCTACAGAAGGACATCAGGGAGCTGCGTAGGGAAAGAAGTATTTCTCCCTGGAGTAAAGCCAAAGCATTGCTCTATCTTCTTCACCTACATATTGCTGGAGCCAAGATGAAGCCTGTAGCTCTAAGGGAATGTGTGGGCACATGCCAGACTAGGAGGGAGGAACACTGGAAAATTGGAAAATAAAATTGGGCTAGAACTGGGCTAGAGAAGTGAATTAACAAGACCTAATGATAATGGGTATGAGCAGCTAAGTATAAGTGATAAATGTTTTTTAAAACATGTAAGTTCTGATTGCTCACATAAACCTGTCTGCGTGTCTCAGGTGGAGCGATTCTGGATGCAGAGCAATGCGGTGGTGGCAGTTCTCGCGGGCCTCGGATTGGCCACCCTTGTGTCCGAGACTCACCGAGTGCTGAACTGCCATGGGACTCGGTATCTGGAGTGGCTGTCTGCAGCTCTCTTTGTAGCTTACCAAATATACTCAAATTACAGGTAATTGCATATAGTTATTTTCCTGAAAAGTAGCACTTAACTCTAGAGACATCTGCCTGTGTAGCTTCTAGGACTCTGAGAACAGCGCATGCAGTGCCCGGTTGTGAGGCTCCGACATTTGTCTCTCTGCCAATGCTGTGGTGTGGTTTGCGGCCATCACAAGCAAGTGAAAGCCGTGCACATAGACCGTGTGTTTTCCTCTAAGGAACTCAAGAAGTACATTGAAGAATCTAGATATGTCACATTTCATAATTAGGATACCCTTAGATGGAGGTTTAAAAGACTTGGGGTTCTTGTGTATCTCTTTATGCTGCAAACTTCTCATCTTTTGAGTAAAGTATTACAGATTTTTTTCAAAATTTGTAAATAACCTTCCAATGAAATTCTCCGAGTAAACGAGAAGTTGCTGAAGTATTGGGTGGCAGTTCACTTGTTTCCAGCAGTTATTGTCAGACAAGTAGAAGAGCAAGCCTTTAAATGATTTGTTAGAGCGACTCTGACTAGTATAATTTTAAAAGATTAAAGTTTCTCTTGCAGCTTAACTTTTTAAAATGAATTCTTGCTGGGCATGGCGGCACATGCTTTTAATCCCAGTTCTTGGGAGGCAGGAGCAGATGGATCTCTGTGAGTTCAAGGACAACCTGTTCTACATAGAGTTCCAGGACAGCCCGGGCCACATAGTTAAATTCTTTAGGTTAGCATACAAGGCGTGGGCTTCCCTGAGCATCTTCATGCTGTGCATCACTGCACTTTAGCCTCACGTTCCCATCCCCCACTCCCCCCACCCCACATGGGAGGTTTTCCTTTCTGTTAGTCTGCTTTCACCTTCCTTAAGAACTACCCCTTAGCTGGGTGCTGGTGGCGTGCACCTTTAATCCCAGCACTCAGGGAGGCGGAGGCAAGTGGATCTCTGTGAGTTTGAGGCCAGCCTGATCTACAAGAGCTAGTTCTAGGACAAGCTCCAAAGCTACACAGAAAAACCCTATCTCAGAACAAAAAGAAAAGAATATCCCATGACCCCATTTCTATTTTTGTGACTTACAAACGCATACACACATATGCATACATATGTTCTTGTGTATGTACACATGTATACATATGCATTTACATAGATACACATACGTAATACATACACACATGTGCATATATACATACATACACATGTAATTTTAATCTTGGATCCACGTATGAAAGAAAGCTACAGTAATCGTCTTCATGGGTGTGACTGTTTAGTTATCATAGTAATTTACAGTTGCATCATTCTCTTGGAAATGTCGTGATTTGATTTTTATTGCTGTATAAAATTCCCATGTATGTGATAGATCATATTTTGATTATCCACCTACATGTTGATGAATTATGCTGTTCCATTCCCTGATTAGTATGCACAGTGCAACTACAAACACAAATGTATAAGCATGTCTAAAGAGTAGTACAGCTGAGTAATACAGTTCTATTTGGGGATTTTTAGGAACTTCCATACGTATTTCTTTTGTGGCTGCACAAGCTAACTTTTCAAACAGTTTCCTCGCATCCTTGCTGTTTGTTGTTTGTTTTCTTAGTGATAGCAGTTCTGGCTGGAGCGAGAGGGGACGGCTAAGCAGCTGGAATTTGCATTTCCCTTGGGACTAAGGACGTTAGGCCCCTTTTCAAGTGTTTGTTGGTCATTTGTATTTCTTCTTTTGAACACACGCATTCAATTTATTCACCCGTTTATTGATTGCAGTTCTTGTTTATCTCATGTATTAATCCCCAGCCCAATGTGTAGTTGGTGAAGATTGTTTTCCAGTTCTGACTATTGTTTCCTTGGCTGTGCAAAAGCTTCTTAATTTCATGTAATTCCACTCGTCACCTCTTGGGATTACTTCCTGTGCTAATGGGTCTTGTTCAGAAAATCCTTGCCGATGCCTATATTGTGAAGTCTGAAGTCCCACACAAAGGGCTTTGATACATCTTGATTTTGTGTGTGTGTGTAGGATAAGAAATATGGATCTAGTTTCATTCAGACATCTAATTTTTGTAGCATCTTTGTTAAGCAAGCTGTCTTTTTTCAAGTTTGTTATTGACAGCTTTGTCAAAGTTTGGTGGCTGTAACAGTGTGGATTTATTTCTGGATCTTCTTTCTGTCCTGCTGGTCTACCTGTCTGGTTTTGTTCCAGTGCCATGTTTTGTTTTGACTGTGGCTCAGTAATATATTATGAGACCAGTATTGTGGCGGGATCAGCACTGTTCTTTCTGCCTAGGGTTGCTTTGATTGTTCAGGATCCTGTGCGTCTGTGTGGATTTTAGTGCTTTTATCTAATTTGGTGAAGAAAGACATTGGGGTTTTGCTAGGGATTCTGCAGAATGAAGTAGCTTTAGATACTATGGCCATTTTTACTATGTTTATTCTACCTAATCATGAGATTGGAGATTGTTCCACCTTCTAGTATCTCCTTGAAGCTTATCCGTATCTTTAAGTTTTTACTATGGTGGTCTCTTTTTTGTTAATTAGGTTTATTCCTGGATATTTTTTAAATGATTGTGAATGGGATTTTTTCTTTTTCGCTGATTTCTTTCTCAGCAAGTTCATTATTGGCATTTAGAACTGGTAGTGTTTATATTCTGATTTTGTATCCTGAGACTTTGCTGAAAGTGTTTATCAGGTCTACGTTTTCTTTTAAATAAATAATCATGTTGTCTGCAAATAGGGATAAATTGACTTCTTCCTATTTGTGTGCCTTTTATATGTTACTGCTATTTTATTGCTCTAGCTAAGACTTCAAGAATTGTATTGAATAAGACTGGCGAGGAGTGAGTGAGAGCCCTTGTTTTGTAGACGTTAGAGGAAATTCTTTCAATCTTGCCCCACTTGGTATAGCGTTGCCTATGGGCTTGTCATATATAGCCCTCATGTTGAGGTACATTCCTTCAATTCTTAATGACTTTCCACTTTATTATGGAAGAATGTTGAACATTGATGAAGACTTTTTGTATATCAATTAATATGCACAATACATCTTAAGATTATTATTAAGATGATCATACATTTTCTGTCCCTGTCTATGTACTAAATTATACTCACTGATTTGCATATATTGAAACAGTCTTACATCTCTAGGGTTCAAACAATTCAGCCATGGTAACATGATTTTCTTAATGTGTTCTTGAATTCAATTTGTAAGAATTTAAAAGATTTATAATTTTACTTTAAATTTTGTGTATGTGGGGGGATATATGCATGTGAGTGTAAGTACCCACAGATACCAGAGACATTGGATCACCCTGGAGCTAGAGCTGGAGGGCTTTGTGAGCCACCACTGTGGGTGCTAGCTACCAGATCTGGTCCTTTGCGAGAGCAGGATGTGCTCTTTACTAAGCCAGTTTCCAAAAACTTATTGGGAATTTTCGCATCCTTGATCACCAGGGAAATCGCTTTATAGCTTCTTTTGCTGTCCTTACCTGGTTTTAGTTTTTAACACTCACTCCTTTTCTGTCTTACAAAACAGTTTAATGAACATTGGGTGTTAAAGGTTTGGTAGAATTCCCCAATGAATTCATATGGAGAGGGATTTTTGTTGTTGTTGCTGTTTAGGCTTTTTTTTTTTTTTTTGGAAACAGGGTTTCTCTCTGTAGCTTTGGAGCCTGTCCTGGAATTCACTCTGTAGACCAGGCTGACCTCAAACTCCCAGAGATCTGTCTGCCTCTGTCTCCCAAGTGCTGGGATTAAAGGCGTGCACAGCGACAGAACTTTTCTTGATAGTGGGATTTTTATTACTGTTTCAATCTCAGCAATTTTTATGGATCTATTTCAGTTTATGTGGATAGGCCATATGGGCCTAAGAATTTTATCTATGTCACTAGATTTTCTAATTTTTTTAAATAAGTTTTCAAAGTTTTCCATGATGGTTCTCTGGGTTTAATTGGAATTTGTGGTAATCTCTTTTCACTTCTGATTACATTAATTTCAGCGAGCCAGTCCCCCACGTAGGTTTGGCGAGGGCTTAGTCAGTTGTTTTATAAAGGTCCTGGTATTCGTGCTTTCGTTTTTATTTGATTTTAGGAACTCCTTCATTTCCACCCTGATTTCTTAAATGACCCGTGTTCATTAAAGAGAACAATGTTCAGTTTCCCTGTATTTGTGGCTTCTTTAATTTTTCTTGTATTGATTTCTAGTTTTATTATACTGTGATCTGGTAGATATAAGAGGGTTTTTGTTATTTTGTACTTGGTAAGTCTTGATTTATGGTCTAGATTGTGAGAAGGTTCCATCAGTTGCTAAGATGAACATGTATTCTGTTTTATGTTTTATGCCATGTATCTGTTAAGTCCATTTGCTCTGTGATATAGTCTAGCTGTGGCATTTCTTGTTGGGTTTTACTTTGGATGACTTATCTAGCGGTGGCAGAGGGATATTGAAATCTTCTGCTGTCATTGTCTCCAGACTTTTATTTCCATTAATGCTTGTTTTTGAACTTGTGACTCACCAACATTTGATGCCTGTGTGTTTACAGTTGTTTCGTTTTCTTGATGGATCACGCTCTATTAACCATCAGCAGCCTTCCTCACCTCTTCCAAGTGATTCGGGTTTGAAGTCCACTTCACTGAAGATCTGGAAAGCTATGCTAGCTTTTTCCGTTTTCTTTTTCTGCTTTCATCCATTGGCCCTGTTGCTGGTCTTTACCGGTGTGTCTTTCTTCTATCTCTGTGTGTTGTATTTTTAAGTATCTTCTTCTGCACGTGTTTGGCAGTCATGAACTACACTAGTTTGTGCTTGCCTTGAAATTTATTTATTTCTTCACCAATTTTATGTATTTGCTTGTTATTGATGCAGGTTTTCTCTGTATATCTCTGACTGTCCTGGAACTCACGTCACAAGACCAGGCTGGCCCTGAACTTGAGATCCACTTGCCTCTGCCTCCCCAGTGTTAGGATTAAAGGTGTGTGCTGCCATCAATTTTAAGACACCCTTGCTGTATATCACAGTTTTGCTTGGCGGTTAGTTCTTTACTTTAGGAACTTGAAAGCTGTCATCTGTGTGCTCCTGGCTTTGAGGGTTGTTGATGTTATTCTGATGGTCCTGCCGTCATGTGTGAGTTGACATGTTCCCTTAACAGCTTTTTTTTATTTTTTAACTGTTTTTTGCTTCAAGTTTTGACATCTTGACTTTAATATGTTTTTGGAGGGTTCGTCTTTGGTCTTCTTTGGGTTCTTGATGGTCCTTGTGTGTGGATGCCCATTTCTTTCTCTGGGTTTAGGAGTGTTCTGCTATAATTTCATCAAATAGGTTTTCTGTGTCTTCAGTGCTTATTTTTTTTTTAATCTCCTTCTTCTAGCCTGTGGGTTCTTAGATTTGGCCTCTTGTTTGTATCCCAGAATTTATGGATATTATGGTCATGTTGTTTGTTTATATTTTCCCGTATTGATATTTGAGTGCCATGTTTTATCAGCCTTCACTTCTGTCTCCAATACTACTTCTGTGGCCTAGGCAAATCTGCTGGTGATGTTTTCCACCCTGCATTTTACCTGGTCCATTGAGTTTTTCTCTTCCAACTTTTCTACTTGTTTTCTTTCCCTGTCTAACAAACAAATCCGTTTTCTTGCTGAATTTTTCTTCCATGTTGCTCATTTTCTTTTCCTTTTTATGTACTTTGTTTTTGTGGGTTGCTAACTTTCCTCTCTAGGTTTGGGTTAAAGTCTTCTGTTTGCTGGTTTCTTCTTTTAGATCATCATTGTTACCAGAAAACTTTGGAAATCTACCTGGCACTTCACCTATCTCACTGTGAGCTCACTGGTGGAGGAACTGTGATTTTTGTGAGGTCGTATTGTTTGGCTGTTCATGTTCCTTGCATCTCTGCAGTGAATTTTTATAGCTATTGGTTTGGCTATCTCTTCTGGATTTTGACAGGCATCTGTCTTATAGAGAAGCCTACTCTGAAAGACTCAGTCCTCAGTGCCATTTAGTGAGGAGGGAGCACACTGCTATAGCAGCAGCAGCAAACCATACAGAATATATAATTACATGTAAAACCACTAAGTCCACTACGGCCTTGCCAGTGACCCCAGACCTGAAAATGACCACACTGTGAAAAATGGACAGCAAAATAAAAAACTATTTAGAATAAGTGTGGACATAGTAAAGGAAGGAAATCAAGAAGAGAGAAAAGATTAAATAAAAGAAAGGAGAAAGAAGGGGAGTGGAGAAGAGGCTGTGGGGGAGACGGGAAGGAAGAAACAACGGCAGAGATTCCTCAGTACTGAAGAATCTACTGAAGAGACTCGGACTGAAATCAGACAAATGTGAGAAAGGATGAAAATAAAAACATAAGAGATTGTTTTTATTTTGCTTTGTCTTGTTTTTTGAGACATGATTTCTTTGCGTAGCTCTGGCTGTTGTGGAACTAGCTCTTGTAGACCAGACTGGCCTCAAACTCACAGAGATCCACCTGCCTCTGCCTCCCGAGTGCTGGGATTAGAGGTGTGCACAACCACTGCCAGCTGAGAATATTTTAAAGGCTAATAGTGTAAACAAAGAGAGGGAGAAATAGAGGAGATAAAAAACAAAGGAAGAGAAAATGTATTGCCTCCAGTGGAAAATATATGTAAACAAAATTATGTGGATGTTTAAAGCAAATAAAACCATTTATCTTTAAATCATTTCTTTAAAAAGATTTAATTGTATTTTATTTATTTCAAACTGTGAGGAGATATGTACATGCCACAGCCTAAGTGTGGGGGTTAGAGGACACCTTGAAGGGCGTAGTTCTCTCGCTCCATCAGATCTTAGGGCACTTGGGGTCAGACTCAGGTCATCAGGTTTGGTAGCAAATCCTTTACCCTCTGAGCCATCTTGCCAGCCCACTAAAAATATTTGAAAATTCTTAAAATACAGAAAAAAAAAAGCCTGCTAAATGTAAGAAAAAAAGAAAAGAACCTTGTGGGTGGGGGAATAAAGTGTGTTACAACAGCTTCTTTTGGGGTCTCTGAGAATTGGAGACTTCCACTCATACATGGGACAGGACCATTTAAACTTTTTGGCTCCTGTGTTTCTTTATGCTGTGGAGGAGTCAATATTGAACAAGTGTCCAGTGTCCTCCAGAGCAGTCCTCACAGCAGCCATTTGCCTTCTTTGTGTATTAGGGCCCTCTGCTGGCCACACTTGGCTTTGCAGTCTGTATGCTGGGAAGATTCCCTCACCCTGAGACTGAGATGGTGCTCCCAGTGTCTTGGCAGTGTGGGACGCAGAAATAGCACTGACATGAGCACAGCACAGCCTTGCTCCTTTCACAGCCTTCTGTATTTGAGTCCCCTGCTGGAGGGGTGCAGCAGTGGACACCCCTGGAACCCCAGAGTCCTCAGGCTCCACAATGAACAAAGATAGGTAACTCCAGATCTTGACCTCCCTGACACCTCAGGCTTGGGACTGTCAAACCCCAGGGTAATTCTGTTGATGGGCTCTACTCCCTGACACACTACCTCACTCCCTCTCCCCCTCCACCCTCCTCACCATTTCCCAGACTGAAACTCAGCTTCCTGTCACTTCCCCTTCCTTTGCCAGTGGCTGTCCATCCCTCCTCTTCTCCACAGCTGCCTCTCTCGCTTCTCCAATGCAGAGGCTGTGGCAGGCCACGTTAACCCTCCTGACCTGTGAATGTTTCAGGGTAGCTCAGATTTTTAAGAATGGATTCTTTGTGGCCGTGCCCAGCCAGTGCCCTCTGAGTCATACAATATGACAAAATGGGGTTTTCTTTTCAGCTGGCCAGTTCACTGGGGGAATTACTGTCTTACCAAACCCCACACCTGGATTTGAGGCTCCTGAGAGGCAGGCTTCCCCAGATCCCATCCCACATCAGGATGCAGAGTGACCAGAAATGTCCCGCTAGCTTCTGCGTGCTGTGCATTGTGTGCTGTGTATTGTGTGCTGTGCATCATTGTGTGCTGTGCATCCTTGTGTGCTGTGCATCCTTGTGTGCTGTGCATCATTGTGTGCTGTGCCTTGTGTGCTGTGCACTTTGTGCTGTGCATCTCTTGTGTGCTGTGCATCCCTTGTATGCAGTGCATCCCTTGTGTGCTGTGCCTTGTGTGTTGTGCCTTGTGTGCTGTGCATCATTGTGTGCTGTGCATCTCTTGTGTGCTGTGCATCTTTGCTTCGGCCCTTTCCTAGTGCTTTGCTACTTTCTCTGAAGACTTCCAGAGCTCTTCCTCTGTTTCTGTCTTTGGGTTAAAGACTGGGTTTTGTTTTTGTTTTTGTTTTATTCTGAATCTCCCCTTCACTGCCCTTCATAGAGGCAGCCTCCAGAGTGCCATCTTATGCAGAACCTTACAACCTCACTTTAAAGACTAAGTCTTTAAATAATATATAATATATAATCCCAGACTGGAGGCTGCATAAGGAAGCCTTCATCCCCATCACCTTGTGAGATGGGCTATACATCCCATCCGTGGTTCCAAGAAGTATCTAAGCTTTAGCCAGCCCAATCTCAGTCTTTTCTGTCCATCTTCTCCTGGCTCAGGTCTTTGAGGGATGTCCAGCCTCAACACCAGTAATGTGCACAGACTGGGCAGTTTCTCTCTTTTTTCTTCTATTTGCCCCCAGAGAATGGAATAAATAGTAACTTTCCTGGTAACAAATGTGAGCTGTCACTAGCAAAGCAGAGGCTCTTCCTCTCAGGAAGCAGTCATCCGTTGCTATGTGGGTTGTGAGGACAGGGCAGTGCCTTTGCCTTGTGGTACAAACCAGTGATTCCACTTAGCACCTCCTCGGCCCAGAACGCAGATGGACAGAGAATGACACGGCTTGCTGTTTGTTTTGTTGTGTTTTGGTGCTTTTTCCTTTCACAGCCTTTTTTCCTTTTGTGCATTGTTCTCTGAACTCATTCGCCTTTTCTTTGATGTTAGAAAGCCCTCTCCATTCTTGAGAAGGAGCTGTGCTCCTAGCTTGGGTAGATAAAGCTGGAGCTACGGCAGCTCAGCAGGTGCAATCACTTCCTTCTCCGTGTTTTCATCCTCAGTGACCTGACCACCAGGGAAAGGCCACCTCAGGAAGCCTTAAAGGGGGGAAGGTGGTGAGAAGCCTCAGCAAGACACAAGTCACAAGGGGTCACATCAGCTCTTGTCAGAAATAGCAGACTTCTGCTTGCTTTTCTGACTATTCTTTTTTTTTAAGATTTATTTATTTATTATGTATACAACATTCCTTCCATGTATGCCTGCAGGCCAGAAGAGGGCACCAGATCTCATTATAGATGGTTCTGAGCCACCATGTGGTTGCTGGGAATTGAACTCAGGACCTCTGGAAGAGCAGTCAGTGCTCTTAACCTCTGAGCCATCTCTCCAGCCCCTGACTATTCTTTTGGAGGAAATGGAATTAAGATGAAATTGCCTTAATTCTATGTAGTCAAAAACTGCTTTGATAACTGAAATTGGGTTACTTGGGGTGGGGAATTACACTGAGACAGACTGTTTGCTGTATATGGACATGATTATCAGTTGGTAGAAGTAATGCAGCAGGCTTTTCTTTCTCCTCTAGTTTCACTTAGCTCTCTAAACAAGCCGAGATGATGCCAGGCATGGTTGCTCATGTCTTTACTCAGAAAGCAGAGGCAGGCAGATCTCCGAGTTTGAGGCTAGCCTGGTCTACAAATCTAATTACAGAATAGCCAGGGCTACCCAGAGAACCCCTGCCTCAAATAAAATAAACAAGCTGGTGAGCTGTTCTCCCAGGGGTGTGCCTTCCCAGAGAGCAGTGTGGGGTACCCTGGAGCACTCGGTGTGGATGCTGAGGTTAGGAGGGGAGGAAAGCGTGGTGCAGGAACCCTCCTGTTACAGTTGGGGAAATGTGCTACTGTTTTAATTTGCTGAAAAATCTTTTTATTTAGCATTTGTGACCAAAGAACCAATAATGTGATCGATCAGTTTGCACGAAATCTCCTGGACTCCATGCCGCGTGATGCAATCGTCTTACTCAGGGGAGACTTGCCAGGGAATTCTCTCCGTTACTTGCATTACTGTGAGGGGTTGAGGCCGGATGTTTCCCTAGTGGATCAAGAAGTAAGTATAAGAAAAACATCCTCAGCATACAGCAACCTTTAAACATATCACTCATGGTGCGTGCGCCTGTGGCTTGAGCCCAAGACTTTGAAACCAGCCTGGGCAAATGGTATGATTCATCCAATAAACAGACACATAAACATTTTTAAATTTTTGGTTGGGTAAACTTTTTGTAATCATTTTTGGTGGGTTTTCTATGGGAAGAAGAAATAGTTTTTTGCTTTTGACAGGGTCTCACAGTGTAGACCAAGGTGGCCTGGAATTCCCTGTCCTCCTGCCTTGGCCTCACAAGTTCTGGGATTACCAGTGTACACTGCCGTCTGTAATCATCCTTAGAACAGGGATATCATAGTCCTGTGTATTTGGGGCTCATTTGTAGCTTGTTTTTTCCTCATTTAAGCTGTTTATCAATATGCTTCACCTCACAGTGAAATGACAGCCTAGGTTTTTATGTTTAGCCAGTTCACCAACAAATAACATTGTACATTGGCCAGCCTATGAAAATTAAATTAATTGATATTAAAAATGTGGGCAAGTAAACATTTTATTTAAATTGTAAATTATTGATTACAACATGGCTATAGAATTTTTATGTACATTATTGATCCTATGACAGAAACGTGTTAGGAGGAGCTTGTAAGAACTGTGATGTCTGACCAGAGTAGTTGATGCTTCACCTTTTAAGACCTCTACCAACTGCTCTTCCAAAGGGTCCAGACTGGATTCCCAGTGCCCATCTGTACAACTCACAGCATCTGTAACTCCAGGTCCATAGAATCCAGTATCTGCTTTTGGCTTCTTTGGGCACCAGGCATATATGTGGTACAGACATATATGCAGGCAAAATACGCATGCACATAAAATTAAGTTTTTTTTTAAAAAAGAAGAAAGTGATTACTTTTTTAAAAACTGTACTAGTAAAACAGTTTTCCTGGACTGGGAGTGTAGCTGTGTTGGGAGGACTTGCCTAGCTTACACAGAGAAAGGTCGTTGTAATCGGGAGTGTATTTGTAAAAGAAAGAAAGAAAGAAAGAAAGAAGGAAGGAAGGAAGGAAGGAAGGAAGGAAGGAAGAAGGAAAGAAGCTATTCATGGATCAACAATGGCATCTGATAGAATTATAGTAAGGTTATTATGAGAATTAACTGAGGAATATTAAGTTTATAACATATTGCTCAATTGATGTGAATAATCCCAAGTACTGAGACTGTTGGGTAACAAAATCTTTGAGTTGTATAATATATACATTTAAAATTAATTTGTCATTTGTTACTTGAATGATTTATACAAGGTAAGTAAAATATGAGCACAATTGGTTAGATGATCATATTCAAAATGTAAATTGGAGTCTTTTCTATGAAAATGCAGAATTAAGTATACAATTAAAAGTGATTTTTTTTTCTTATAATTTGTTTTAATGAAAAGACATGTGAGTCTAGTTGTGGTTACATTAGTTGAGATTACATACCTGTTAGCTCAGTCAGTTCTCAGGAGCCACAGCAGGAGGATCAGGGTCTGAGGCCATCTGGGCATGATGGCGCACACCCTTAATTCCAGAATTCGGGAGGCAGAGAGAGGTGGGCAGATCTCTGTGAGTTCAAGGCCAACTTGATCTACAAAGTGAATTCTAGACCAGCCAGAGTGACCCTGTCCCAACAAAACAGAAAAAGTCTGAATCTAGCCTATGTCACCAGTGAGATTGTCTTTGTAATTAAAGACCCTGCTTCAAAATTAAAACAAAATTGAAAATGTTTAAGGATATGTAATTAGTTGGGGACTACTAGTAAATTCAGATAATTTATCCAAAAAGGTTATCAGCTTTGAGGCCTAGATAATTATATAATTGAGCTTCTCAAGGGCAGAGATTATATCTTATCTATTCTGAGTGAGCAACACTAAGAAGAGAAGAGTGTAGTAATGGTATATTTGTGTATTTGCTAGACTATTTGGTCTATCCATCAAAGTCATTTCAACTACAGCTCAAATAATTGGAGCACTGTTGTGTGCTAGGTGCACAGAGATGAAAAGACAGTCCCTTCCCTCTGGGAGCTCAGGCTAGTGAGGCATAGGCATAGAGCTAGACCAGAGGTAGGTACAGATGGTGGGGAGGTGGGAGAACTTCCGAGGACTAGATCTTTGCTGGTTCTCTAAGTCTAAGATGGGGACCATCATCTGGGAATTGACAGACTCATGGAGGTGAGGTAGCATCAGGGTAGTGGTCACCTCTTACGACATGAAACCTAAGAATTGTCCTTCTTAAAGGCATAGCAGTACATCCTTGGTTTTCTTGAATGTATTTTTTTTCCAATCATGTAAGTATATAATCAAGTATATAACTACATTTTAGAAGCTTTCCATGGCTGTTGGTGAAGCTGATACTTTGCAACATGTACTGAGGTGTGGCTCCCTGTGGTCTTTCTGACAGATGATGACTTATGACTGGTATTTACCCAAGATGGCAAGGCATCTCCCAGGTGTGCGCTTTCCTGGGGACCGGTGGAGCCCCGTGGGAGGAGTATTACCCAGTGGAGTGGTCACGTTCAGTCTTTATCACTTTCTTGAGATGAATAAACAGTAAGCATTCTCTTCATATAATAGCTTTTCTAAACCGTAAGCGTCTCTGCAACTGTTTCTGCAGCAGCTGTGCCTCATCCAAAGGACCAATTTCTACCTATTTCCCTGTCAGCAGTGAGATTATCTTTGTAATTAAATTGAATATCTGTGCATAGATGAGGCCAGGCAGAAATAAATGTTATTGTTCTGGGTAAAAGAAAAATAAAGACAGATTAGCAAGAACAACAAATAAGATCTTTGCACAATTCTGAGAAATTGGAGATGTGCCTGCCTACTTGAAATCATTGCAGGTGGATCGCAAGCAATTACGGTTCCCTCCTGATCAGCACTGTGGCCCCCTTTTAAGTAGAAAGCATTTTTTTTTTTCAGGAATAATCACTGTATAAAAATAGGTTAAGCATTTTTATAAAGGACAAAACATTTTTATAAATAAGAGAAAGACCTACAGTTTATGCTGACTGAGGCTAAAATAAGAGAATTGTGAATTCCGTACTTGAAAGCATAAGATGGTTTGTAGTTGAGGTCAAGAATGAGTGTGTCCTTAGGTGAGCGCCACACGGCTTCTGTCTGCGATGCTTGGGGTTTCATGAGCTTGAAAAAGAACATTTGTTTCGGGTTTTGTTTTTTTTTCTTGTGAAGAGAACTTTAAAAAATTTTTTTAATGAATTCCAATGTCAAATTATCCTTTGGTAGGGACACAAAATGTAGCTTCCCAGTGTGCTGCTGAGCCTGTTTTCCAGGGCTGCTGGAGCGATAGGAAGGAATGGGCACCAGCTGCTGTGAGAACAACACTAAATTAGCATATTCAGAAGTAAGACCAACAAGCCAGCAGCATTCCCAAATGGGCATTTTTGTTAGTTTTGTTTCATTCTGCTTCAAAATTTTTCAAATATTTTCTCTGGTACAGCTTGTATTGGGCCCTGGCAATACACAGGTACGTGGGGGCTCAGGTCCAGATCGCAGTGGACCGTGGTCTGGTTGGCTGTGTGCAGTAGTGTGAGAAGTTCTTCCGAGGAAGTGTGAAGCAGGCCAATGAGACAAGTGCCCACTAAATAGGTTATTTGACTATGGAAGCTTAGCACTCTGGGAACATAGACAAGAAGTCATTAAGTTTGTCTGTGGGTATTCATTCAGCATTCATTAAGAAATGAGAACTGGGTGGTGGTGACGCAGGCCTTTAATCCAGCACTTGGGAGGCATAAACAGGTAGGTGTCTGTGAGTTTGAGGCCAGTCTGGCCTACAGAGTGAGTTCCAAGACAGCTAGGATTAACATGGAGAAACCTTGTCTCGAGAAATAAAAAAAA